TACAATAATATTACAGCATTCAGCAAACAAAAAATACTGTCATGGGCATGCACACTATACTTCAACCAGGCTGGTGTTTAATGTGCATTTAATAATTTTAGACAGATACAAAATGGACTCTGCAGTGTATCATTTCACCCTTCCCTCCCCTCCACAACCCCCCACAGAATAGCTTTGCTGCTGTAATTTCCCATCTTGAAGATTTACCAGGACTAGGCTTGACTTTTAAATCTACCATTCCATAACTAAAGTAAAAAGCAAAACAGCACAGCATGAGTGTCATAATATGTTTTCTGTTGCATTTATTCAAAAATATTAAAATAAACTGCACATTTATAGCTATCCGTCTCCTTACATAACTTCAGCGTTAATCAGAGATCTAAACAATGACCTCAACCTTCTGATCACAATTGCATAAACAAATGTTCGTTTCACTCCAATTAAAACAAATACTAATTCTTTGAACTGATGAGCAAAACACACAGCGACCATAATGTATATTTTCGCATTTCAGCTGTTTACAGTCTTTGTGACCATGTTTGTTATCAGGTAAATTAGATGAAATCATTATACCTTGATGAGGAATTAAAGATTACTGAGATAACTGACTGGCTGTCTGCAATGCATTACTGAACATACATGCTCTTAAAGGTAGAAACATCTTCTATATTAAAAAAAAGCTTTATTCTTTGTATGGATCTTTCTATGAAAAATAAATGTTGTTTTAAAAAGTCACAGGAAAAAGAAAAAATCATAAAGTCTGCTACTGAACCAAAACAGGTTTTTTTAATTTCAGAAAAAAACTACATAACAGGTTTCAATCCACTTTACAAACTTAACTACAATTTAAACTGTTCATTACACTACTCTTTTGTCTTTAAATCCATTCATTTTATAATTTGGGTATCTGTCTTGCTCTCTGTCTCTCTCTCTATATATATCCCTAAAGACATCCACAAGAAAACAAATCTCTCGTGCTATCAGCTGAGTTCACAGAAATACATACCTGCTGGTCTGCTTAGTATTTAAAGTTCTTTCAGTAATTCACAAGGCCACTGACTTTGATCATCTAAATCCTTTTCTCAGAACTAATGGCCAATGTACAGAAAAACTTAAATTGCTAACCTCTGCTTTCCTCCTGGAGAAACCGTTCTCTAAACTCTGCTCTGCTAAATTACAAAAACCCACCTACAACCAGATTTGCTAATGAAAAGGGGGGTGCTTTCTGAACAATAGGAGAATTCCTGTGCATTTAGAATGCAGAGTTCCCATTAGAACAAAGAATCAGAAATGCCAGTTTTACCTCTGTTTTTTAATTGAGATTGTCCCAGCCCTCTTCTACGGTCCAGTGAGACAGTGTTTGTGAAATGATTAAAAAGAACGTGATCTGATCAAGAGGATAGAATAATGGGAAAGGAATGCTAGGTTAGCCACTGTGCTAAGTGCTGGGAAAGAAGACCAAGAGGCTTCTTAACCTATTGTTTTTATTCCCATCTGCTCTTTAGCCATCCCATAACACTTTGATTCTTTATTTACTCTGTTAAAAATGGGTTAAAAGTTGCCCACTTACAACAGAATTTGGAAACAAGTTTTAAAAAAAAATCTAAAAAAAAAAAAAAGAAAATAAATAAAAATCTTTGAATTATATCAAGTTTCCAAAAGGTCATCACTGTCTCTGCTGTGGCCTTTTCCCCATACCAAATCCTCTATCAATATGTCATAGTGAGTTAGGCAAAGACAAAAGAGAGGCTCAGTGTGAAAACTGCACATATATCTAATCCTGACAAAGCAATGAATAGGCCTTCACAAGTATAATTATACTTGTTTATTTGTTGCCACGTACAGAGGACTGATGAAAAAATCCATCAAAGTGGTATTATGCAGACACCAAGGGCTTCTTTTCTTTAGTTGCTAAAGCCACATTGAGGCTTAAATTCCTTATTGTTAAATTCAGAAGAAAGAAAAAAAAAGATTTTGGTTGGACTTTTTTTGCATCAATTGCTGACAGATCTTTTGTGTATAGCGCTATATTATTAGATGCATTAGCTAGAGTCTTGCTCAAACTGCTACCTCATTTTAGCCCATGCTGGAATCCATAATTATAAACTACTGTACACAGTACCTTTCAACAGGGTGTGGTAGGCATTTAGCTGACCATGCATTGAAGAGAATTTTAAATTACTCATTTTCTCATAATCACTCATTTGAAATATCCATATACAGGTATGCTACCTGTACAAAAGTTTTATAATTACAGTAGGGTTTTTTCCCCCTTAGGCTGACAACTGTGGGGAGATAGGATGTGGATCTGTCTGGCATGGGGGTGTCTTTCAGTTTAGCCTGTGTAGTTTAGAAGATACACAGTATTATGTGTTACTGTACATGTATCTACCCCACTGTCAGAAACTGGGGTCCAGTGTGTGAAGGAAAAACCTAAAGAAATAATGAGAATCGAGACAAATGCAGTGTTATGGGCGTTGAAGATAAAAAGGAAAATATT